GCTCCTCGTGGTGTGAGTCGTCCTGGTGTGAGTCGTTCGGGCCCTACCTTGAGTGTGAGTCGTTCGGGCTCCCCGTGGGGTGAGTCGTTCGGGCCCCTCGTCCTGGTGTGAGTCGTTCGGGTTCTTCCTTGAGTGTGAGTCGTTCGGGCTCCTCGTGGTGTGAGTCGTTCGGGCCCCTCGTCCTCGTGTGAGTCGTTCGGGCTCCTCCTTGTGTGTGAGTCGTTCGGGCTCCTCGTGGTGTGAGTCGTTCGGGTCCCTCGTCCTGGTGTGCGTCGTTCGGGTCCCTCCTTGTGTGTGACTCTTTCGGGTTCCTCGACGTGTGAGTCGTTCGGGCCCCTCGTCCTGGTGTGATTCGTTTGGGCCCCTCCTTGTGTGTAATCGTTCGGGCTCCTCGTGGTGTGAGTCGTTCGGGCCCCTTGTCCTGGTGTGATGTCGTTCGGGCCCCTCGTGTGTGAGTCGTTCGGGCTCCGTCGTGGTGTGAGTCGTTCGGGCCCCGTCGTTCGGGCCCCTCGTCCTGGTGTGAGTCGTTCGGGCCCCTCCTTGTGTGTGAGTCGTTCGGGCTCCTCGCGGTGTGAGTCGTTCGGGCCCCTCGTCCTCGCGTGAGTCGTTCGGGGCCCAGACGCATACAAAAAGAAAGAACCATACGTCCCAAATTCGACAACATTTCCCCCTTTGTATACACTGACAAAAAGACAACCCCCAGGGAAACCCTGCAGAACCCAAGTACGCGCGTGCGCTCCACAACGCCCGATTGAAGCCAGTGGCTCCCCCTTTAACCATCTCGTCTACTCCATGCGCCTCTTATCCACCGGCACGGCACGGTGGCGGGGTGGGCCGGAGGCCATTAGGATACTCCCAAGGGTGGTGGGCGGAGGCGCCAAATGCTTCGAAAACCGCGAGGGAGGGAAGGATAAGGGAGAAGAAAAGGATGGAGAGGGAGGGCTCGGAGGCCCTTGGAGGGGGGGACGTGCCCATCCGAGGGAACGGTGCACCCCCCCCTCCCCGTCATGAAAACGAGGCACCAGCCGTGGCACCGACCCCCCCCCTATCCCCCCCCCCCGCGACCTGAGTAGACCACCCAGGCCAGCGGAGGACGTCATAGGGGGCGGGGGTTCTGACTTCGATGAAAGAAGAAGGAGGAAAGGAGGGGGGAAGGATCAGGCAGACGAAAGCCCTTTTAGGCTTTACCCGGCGTGTGGAAATGCCCTTTTTGGCTTTTGCGGGGGCTAACCCGCGCGGTCGCCCGCAGGCGACAGGGCGCCCAGGCCCTCTCCGCGCGCGCAGGCGCGTGGCAAACTACATGCGCACGATCGTCCGTGGAATCGAATGGAACCGTCCGCGGCGAGTCGTCCGCGGCGACTCAGGACCACGCCGCCCTGGAAGAAGAGGCGCTACAAGGATACATTCTGTGACGCTGGAGATCCTGATGCGACGAGGACGCTGCAGAGAAACATTCTGCGCGCGTACGCACGACCTGGAACGACAAGCACAATGCGGAAACAAATTCGGTGACGCTGGAGTCCCCGATGAGACGAAGAAGCTGCAGAGACACGTCTCAAGGCGCAGCAACACCGAAGTGACGCAAACGCACCCCGCGACACGACAAGGACGCTGCAAGAAGAAACTCGGCGACGCAGGAGTGCGTGGAAGCTACAGAGGCATGGAAAGGAGGCTGCGAGGAAACTACAGAGCATTCGAAGCGTCTCGACGACGAGGAAGCTACAGAGGCATCTTCTGTGACACTGAAGCTCCACCGGACAAGTGCGCACTGAAACCCCGAAAAACGAAATCCCACCAGCCCTTTGAGCGTGAGTGGTTTAGGGAGTCCGCTCTGTTCTCAACCCCCCTTCTTCCCCTTCGGCGAGGGGTTGACCCCTCCCCCAACCCCCTCCCCCTGGACCTAGTAAATTTCACCGAGCGGCCCATTTGGCCCCGTAAGCACTGCACGTTCGCGAGATGCAGCAGAGCATTGGAATTCCGCAAGATGACGACGACGAGCGCGACGACGAGCGCGACGAGCGCCGACGAGCGCGCGACGAGCGCGACGACGAGCGCGACGAGCCCATTTGGCCCCGTAAGACCTCCTCCTCCTCTTCCTCCTCCTCCTCCTCCTCCTTCTCCTCCTCGTCCTCCCTCCCCCCTCCCTCCTCCCTCCTCCTCCTCTTCCTCCTCCTCACCTCCTCATCCTCCTCCTCCTCCTTTTCCTCCTCTCCTCCCTCCTCCCTCCTCCCTCCTCCCTCCTACACCTCCTCATCCTTCTCCTCCTCCTCCTCATCCTCCTCGTCCTCCTCCTCCTCCTCGTCCGCCTCCTCCTCCTCCTTTTCCCCCCTCCTCCTCCTCCTCCTCCTCCTCCTCCTCTCCTCCTCCTCCCCCTCCTCCTCCTCCTCCTCCTCCTCCTCCTCCTCCTCCTCCTCCTCCTCCTCCTCCTCCTCCTCCTCCTCCTCCTCCTCCGGGGTGCCCGCTCCTGAGGACCAGAGGCCCTCCTGCCCTCCTCACTCCTCACACGGATCGCGGGGTCCGACGGAACGGCGAAGCCTTTGGGGGGGATCCGCCGAAGGAGGGTTATATGTTGTTCGTGGACCATATGCCCCCATCATCAAGCCCACGCTTTCGGTCAGAGTCAGACATGCCTCTTGGACGTGACGAATTACCACACTAAGGGCCTTGGGCCGAAATTTTACACTAAGGGCCTCGGGGCCCGACCCGCTTTCCCCCCCTGTTCTCGCGCGGAGGAAAGGAGGAGAGGAGGAAGGTGGAGGAAAGGTGGAGGAAGGTGGAGGAGGAAGGTGGAGGAAGGTGGAAACCTATATTCGGCACGCCCCTCACACGGATCGCGGGGTCCGACGGAACGGCGAAGCATTTGGGGGGGATCCGCCGAAGGAGGGTTACGCCGAACAATCACGACCCCTCGCCCCCCCCCATCCACCCTTGCCCCACAGGGACTGCCCGCCCCGTCCTCGAGACGGGCGCATCTACTAGGGCAAGGGCTGGTAGGGTAGGGGGGTCGTGATCATCCGCCGAGTGGGAGCCCCCTTCCTCGGAGCCCCCCTGAAGGTGGCCCAAAGATACCCCAACACGCCTAAGGCCCCAAGATGCCTAGGACGCCGAAGGCCCCAAGACGCCTAAGACCCCAAGATGCCCAAGACGCCTAAGGCCCCAAGATGCCCAAGGCCCAAAGATACCCCAAGACGCCTAAGGCCCCAAGATGCCCAAGACGCATAAGGTCCCAAGACGCCTAAGCCCCCAAGATACCCCAAGACGCCTAAGGCCCCAAGATGCCCAAGACGCCGAAGGCCCCAAGACGCCTGCGGCCCCAAGATACCCCAAGACGCCTACGGCCCCAAGATGCCCAAGACGCCGAAGGTCCTGCAACGGATCGTTCCTCCTCCTCCTCCTCCTTGTCCTCCTCCTCCTCCTCCTCCTCCTCCTCCTCCTCCTCCTCCTCCTCCGGGGGGCGAAGGCAACGGCGACAACGACGGAGCTTGGGCACTCCTCACTCCGACTCACTCCTGAGGACCAGAGGCCCGGGGCTGGGCACTCCTCACTCCTCGCTCCTCACTCCTCGTTCCTCACTCCTCACTCCTCACTCCTCCTCCTCCTCCTCCTCCTCCTCCTCCTCCTCCTCCTCCTCCTCTTCCCTCCTCCCGCCTCCCCTCCCCCCTCCTCCTCCTCCTCCTCCTCCTCCTCCTCCTCCTCCTCCTCCTCCTCCTCCTCCTCCTCCAGGGGGCGGTGATGATGTTTTTTTTGTTTTTCTCAGCTCCCACTCCCGCTCCCCGCGGGAATCTACGCGTCTAGCGCGAGGTCCACTACTTCCACCGCGGGAACAGGGCTGCGCACAGTGCTATCGCTGCCACTGCTCACCCTGCTCACTCTGCGCTTCTTCAGCTTGGGCAACCACGTACCAGTCGGGTGCACAATCAACCTGCGCCGAGGGAAATACACGTCCGGGCATGGCTGGAGGAATAAGTTGTTCGTGGACCATATGCCCTCATCAAGCCCACGCTTTCGGTCAGAGTCAGACATGCCTCTTGGACGTGACGAATTACCACACTAAGGGCCTTGGGCCGAAATTTTACACTAAGGGCCTCGGGGCCCGACCCGCTTTCCCCCCCTGTTCTCGCGCGGAGGAAAGGAGGAGAGGAGGAAGGTGGAGGAAAGGTGGAGGAAGGTGGAGGAGGAAGGTGGAGGAAGGTGGAAACCTATATTCGGCACGCCCCTCACACGGATCGCGGGGTCCGACGGAGCGGCGAAGCATTTGGGGGGGGATCCGCCGAAGGAGGGTTACGCCGAACAATCACGACCCCTCGCCCCCCCCCATCCACCCTTGCCCCACAGGGACTGCCCGCCCCGTCCTCGAGACGGGCGCATCTACTAGGGCAAGGGCTGGTAGGGTAGGGGGGTCGTGATCATCCGCCGAGTGGGAGCCCCCTTCCTCGGAGCCCCCCTGAAGCGTGGCCCAAAGATACCCCATGACGCCTAAGGCCCCAAGATGCCCAAGACGCCTAAGGCCCCAAGACGCCAAAGGCCCCAAGATGCCCAAGACGCCTAAGGCCCCAAGACGCCTAAGGCCCCAAGATACCCCCAAGACGCCTAAGGCCCCAAGATGCCCGAGACGCCTAAGGCCCCAAGACGCCTAAGGCCCCATGATGCCCAAGACGCCTAAGGCCCCAAGACGCCTAAGGCCCCAAGATACCCCAAGACGCCTAAGGCCCCAAGACGCCCAAGGCCCCAAGATGCCCAAGACGCCTAAGGCCCCAAGACGCCTAAGGCCCCAAGATACCCCAAGACGCCTAAGGCCCCAAGATACCCCAAGACGCCGACGGCCCTCACACGGATCGTTCCTCCTCCTCCTCCTCCTCCTCCTCCTCCTCCTCGTCCTCCTCCTCCTCCTCCTTCTCATCGACTTGGCTCTCTCACTCTCTCTTAGTGGCCGGCCTGGGCCGCATCATCGCGCGCACTCGAAACCGAGTGCGCGCAGCCCCGTGTGCGCAGGCAGCCGCTCACATGTGTGTCTGGACAGCCTTCCAGAACTTCACCAGCGAGTCGTCGTTGCTCGTATCCATCTGCTTCAGCATCTCGTTGAGCCCAGCCTTCGTCTCTGGCGATTTGTCGAACACCGCCACGCGGATACCGTAGCTGTTGGCGTCGCCCAGAGTCCGCTCGATCACCACGTATCCCATCGGCATGTACAAGTAAGTGCCAGCAACCATTTTTGCTTTTAGCAGCTGGCCACCCTCCTCCAAATACTTGTCCAGCATGCTGGAGTCCTCCTTCAGATTGCCAGCGACGTGGGACATGAAGTCGAAATAGCCATGCTTCTCAGACCTGACGATGCCAACACTGTCAGCGAACTTCAACAACGAATGCACGCTGGTAGCAATCACCTCCCGGACGCCACTCTCCTGGTAACGGCCGCTCGCGAGGCCCAACCTTTCTGGGCCCGTCAAGGGCGCCATGGCCGCAGTGCATCCGTATATCATCACCTGCATGAAGACCCTCTCGGTCGGCGCGCCCTTCCACAACTCTGGAATACTTGCCGAGTGGCCAACCCCTTCCAGAAGGATCTCGCGCAAGGCATCCTGGCCCGTGCCGTTGTACGCGGTCTGGCCCTTGCCTTCCTCCTTCTGGTGGCTCACAGGATACTGGATCTTGAACACGCCGAGGGCTGCCTTGACACCGAGGCCCTTCATCGCGTCCGTGGCTCGAGGCATCGACTCAATGAAGTGCGGGGCGGTGGCGTCATGCTTCCCGGACGACTTCGCCTTGCTGAAATCTTCGACCGTGGCGTAATACTGCATAGCCTTGATGCAAGCGTGGCTGGAGTCAAACAATGTATTTGACTGGATTGCTTTGGCCGGGCTCTCGCCCTTCTTCTTGGCCGCCGCCTTTGTCTCCGCGGAGGCCGAAGCCTTCTTGGCTGCGAGATTGGACTTTTTGTCCGACCGGTCGACAAACGAGGAGGCCTCGTCAGCGCTCTTCTTGGCGAAGGCGATGAGATTGCCCGCGAGGTCCCTGGATAGATTGCAAGACTCATCCACGAGCTTTATATCGTCCACGGTCTTGGCGCCTGGGACGCAGCATGACCCCATTACGTCGAAGTACGAGATGGGTTGTACATTTTGCACCTGATCTGATTCAAACGGCAATGCCCCGCCGTTGGCCAAGCGAGTTTCTAACGCCTGCTGAAGAACCTTCTTATCGACGAAGTACTTCTGAATAATGGTCAGCTTCTTCGCGGCGCCATCCTGCATGGTATCTGGGTAAGTCTTCTTTCCGAAGTCGTACCCCGCTTCCTCGAGTACAGCTTTAACGAACGGCTCTCCCAGGAGAAGTTCGGGCGCTTCAGGCTTGGTCTGCGGGGCGCCATCTGGCTCTTGGGCGTCGGGCCCCATGTTGCCGATCGCCTGGATGAAAGTCTGCAGCAAGAGGGCCCTGTCCGGCGAGTCGACCTGCTGCGTCTGCTTCTGCTTCTGCTCCTCCTTCTGCTGCATCTCCATCTCCCCCCACATGGCTGACAAGAGTTCGAACCGGCCCGTCATCGTCTGGAGCACTGCGGACAACCCCGGAATTGTACTTGCTGAGGAGCTGTCGGCTCGGCTCTTCCCCTCAGAATCCGTGGAGTTCTGAATTGCTTTCTCGCGAGCGGCTATTGCCAGATTCTTCTTCTCGATCAACTTGTCCCTCACTGAGCCCAGCTTCTCAAGAGCGCGGTTCCGGATCACCTCGACGTCCACGTCCTTCCTCCGCTTCGTTTCTTCTTGAGGCGGCTTCTCGGCGATGGCGGCTGCGATCTGCTTCGAGAACACGTTCTTGTCACCAGGACGAATTTCACTCTGCGACGGCCCGCTGAGCCCCGCCTGCGACAGGACCCCCGCGACGGATCCGCCAACCCCACTAAATATCTTGTTCGAGAACGCGGGGAGGTCCTTGGAGAGTTCCTCCTGCATGGACTCGACGGCGGCCACGTCTGCCTTCGCCTTCTTCACCGGCCTGACGCACAACTGATTCCCCTGCGAGATGTCCTCGTAATTGTCCACGTACTCCTCCTTCGGCATGGGCTGTCGATAGGGGCTGTGCGCAGGACCTTTCTGGTCTGTGAGGTCCGGCGAGATGGCAGCCTTCACTGCCTTCCAAGCCGCCGCTGCCTCCGCGCGCGGGTACCGTTGGATTTCGACTCGGAGGTGCATCCACTCCTCCTCGTGCATCTTGACATTGCGAAGTCCTCTCTGGACCCCGCTTGTATGGGTGTGCTTCTGTACCAACTCCGCAGTCGATGCCGAAGTGTGCCCTCGCTTTTTGCCCCTGCCACCGGCTGGGTATTTCTGTTCGAATTCACACACCAAAGCTGCAAACTCCGATGGTGGGTGTTCAGGCGCCTTCTCCCGTAATTCGCAGAAAGCCTTGAGCTCGTCCGGCTTGTCCTTGTCGGAGGGCACCAATACACCAACACCGATCCTGGCCCAGGATCACCCTGGGCCCATGATCGGTGTATATGCCTCCTTGCCCAAGGCAGGAGGGCGTATACACCGATCCTGGGCCCCGGGTGATCCTGGCCAGGATCGGTGTTAGTGTATAGTTGGTGCCTTCCTACCTTGAGCGAGTCCAACAGGGCGCGCACTAACTTGTTGTGATCTTTGCATTGCTTCATGCCCCTGGCCATGTCTGTCGAGCCACATACGTTGCAGTTGGTGTACGTCCCAGCAGCTTTGCTGCAACCCTTGGGCTTGGGGGCCGCCCTGGTAGATTTCGAAGTCCCTGAGATGTCGGTGCCAGTGCCGATGCTGATGGCGTCGGCGCCAGCGAGGTCCCCGTTGGCGGAAGAACCCTCTGCTGTCAAAAGATCCTCCAAGCCCAAGTCCAACAAGTCCATTGCCACGGCAATGTCCGTAAAAACTGTAACTGTGAGTCACGATGATGCATTTGTGAACCACTTGGGCCAAAACTGCCTACGGAACCCCCATCACACGTTACGCCCCCCATTCGCCTTCCCTGGGTGTACCCGTCAGGGCCCTCTGGGGCCCTTCCTGGACCCCTCTCGGACTTCTTGGAGGGTCTTCTTGGGATGAGGAAATAGTGGGTCCTAGCGATTGGAAAAAGGGTAGACAGTGAACGAGTTGAGGAGCAGTCGAACCATCCGAATGGCTTCGCCAGTGCACGAGTGCGCGCCCCCGTAGGTGTACCCCCCATGGCCTTCTGGTGCCTTTTCCTGGACCCCTCTCGGAACTCTCGAAGAGTCTTTTTGGGATGAGGTAGTAGCGGGGCCTAGCGATTCCCCCCCAGGGCCGCGCGTGGCAATAACTCCCTCTCCCTCCTCGTCCTCCACCTTCCTCTTCTCCTCCAGCCTCCTTCTCCTCCTCCTCCTCCTCCGCCCCCACCTCCTCCTCCTGCAGCCTCCTCCTCCTCCGCCTCCTCCTCCCCCTCCTCCTCCTCCTCCTCCGCCTCCTTCTCCTGCTACTCCTCCTTCTTCTCCTCCCCCTCCAGGCGCCGACGCCAAGTCTCAAGTTCACAAGCAACGCGCCCCGGCGCGGGTCTGAGTGTTCTACGCCGCCCTCTCTGCGGCGCGCTCGCGAATTGTCAGCGAGGACAAGCAATACATCAAAAATTGCCCTATAGATACGAGGTGCATCGAGTTGCCAGCCAGTCGCCTCATCTCACAGGCCTTCAACTTCCCCTCGCTCACCATGGACTGGAAAAGGCAAGGGTAATCATCATTGACAGAGTCACAGAGCGCCTCGCCTTGGAACATTAAATGTTCTTGCGGCGTGGCAATGATAACTGTACCGTCAATCGTAATGCCAACGACTTTGGCCTTGGCGGTCATGGTCGGGATGTACCAGCCTGGCGATGTATGATGTCCGTTCTGCTCTATAGTCGTGACGTATGACCCATCTGGCCCGCACGTTGTAGGCGCCCAGTCTTGCTTGTGCTGCTGAACTCGGAGCAGCTCCGCGGCAGTCAGCACGTCTTCAGCCCGCAGCTTCTTGTCCGGAGCGAAATATTCATTCTTCTCCTCAGCCAAACGCCTGTAGTAGACCTGTCGCTCGTCGTCGCTACTCAAGAAGAGCTGGATGCCAGTCATCTCCATCGTGCGAGTGAAGAGGCGGTTGTACTCGTCGAAGCTCGCATCGCAATCGAACCGGTCTGGTCGCCAGAGAAACGAGTAGCGCCTCGGCCTGCGAACGGGGACGCCGCTAGTCGACGGGTGTTGTATGCCAGATACCATCTCCATATCCAACGCATGCGCGAGGCTCTGGTGCAAAGAATACGTACCTATTTCCGTAATCTCCAAGAATATTATGTCCGGTGCAAGTGCCGCCATCTCCGCTTCGAAATAGAGCCACGTTTCCATGTTCTGGCCGAGCTTCCCCTCCATCTTGCCGCGCAGGGAGAAGTCCGTGCATGGTGTCCCAGCGACGACTATGATAAATCGATGGCCCTCGGGTGCGCTGTGCACCGCGCATCGACTCCGACACTGATGACAAACATCGCTCTTGTCCTTCGTGTACAAAGCACCATCCGCACAGGCTTGCTTCAGGTACGCCTGGATCGTTTCGAACTGCGCTACCCGCTGTTCGACGTTATGGCTGGCCTTTGGGGCGGCATCCAGCATGCGCTTCGTGGTGGCCAGCACCTCCTCAGAAAAACGGCCTCGAAGTTCGCCAAATACATGCCGTGCTACTTTATTTTGCCCGTACGCCAAGCAACAGAGCGTCTCAATGCATTCTTCTGCCTGGTCGCAGACATGCGCGACGACGAAGGGCGTTGGTGCAGAGCCTGTGCCGTGCGTAGTTGGATATATGTTGTACTTCTGTAGAATACGATTCAAGTACGTAAAGCACGTCGCATCTGTTCCTTTGCCAGACATGTAAGAAAATACGCTGCAGCCTTCCTCAGCTAGAGCACGGAGCCTCTGCACCCTGGGCTTCGAGAGGTCAGATATCAATACGTCGAACGCCCTATCTGGCCAGGAGAACAACTCTGAAGGAGATTTGAAACCAGTGTGGACGCCAGGGTCGTCAGGCGCATGCAACTCATCGATACATCCTTTGCGATCAAACCGGCGACGCTTGTGTTGACCACGCTCCATGTGGTTTCGTCGTTGACAGATTGGTTTGGGCCAAAATGGCAAAGGAGTCGGCTAGCTGTATTGGAACCGTATGTTTTTTGCCCCCGCGAACTGCCGAGCCGTATTGGAGCCGTCTAGGGCCTTCTGAGGATACTCAGATAACGGGCTTTCTTAGTGTGCGTGTAGATAGGGCCGTGAACAGCCCAAAATCGAGCGTCAAAATTTTTAAAAATATTGACGCTGGTTTTTGGCCCAGAATCCCCCCCTCGGGCCTCGGTGGGACGGATCCGCAACCCTGGGGAGTCGGGGCACCAGAGCGGCAGTAAAAAGAGATGTGGCAAATATCGTGACTGATACATGTCTGTTAACGGGCTTTCTTAGTGTGCGTGTAGATAGGGCCGTGAACAGCCCAACATCGAGCGTCAAAATTTTTAAACATATTGACGCTGGTTTTTGGCCCAGAATCCCCCCCCTCGGGCCTCGGTGGGACGGATCCGCAACCCTGGGGAGTCGGGGCACCAGAGCGGCAGTAAAAAGAGATGTGGCAAATATCGTGACTGTTACATGTCTGTTAACGGGCTTTCTTAGTGTGCGTGTAGATAGGGCCGTGAACAGCCCAAAATCGAGCGTCAAATTTTTTTAAAATAATGACGCTGGTTTTTGGCCCAGAATCCCCCCCCTCGGGCCTCGGTGGGACGGATCCGCAACCCTGGGGAGTCGGGGCACCAGAGCGGCAGTAAAAAGAGATGTGGCAAATATCGTGACTGTTACATGTCTGTTAACGGGCTTTCTTAGTGTGCGTGTAGATAGGGCCGTGAACAGCCCAACATCGAGCGTCAAAATTTTTAAAAATATTGACGCTGGTTTTTGGCCCAGAATCCCCCCCCTCGGGCCTCGGCGGGACGGATCCGCAACCCTGGGGAGTTGCCTCCCCAGTCTAGGTCTCTAACTTTAACTTGAATGCGTTGGGGGCAAAAGTAGGCTGGCACCCTCCCCCTCGGGCCCCAGGAAGGTTTTTTTTGCTGTGTGAGGGGGAGCAGCGATTTCATAAGATGCCGCCACACACGTGAACGTGCGTTGGGGCCCTGGCCCAAGATCGGCCCAGGAGAGCCTCAGGAGGGCTCCAAGAAGGCCGACGACCGACGACGACGACGACGACGACGACGACGACGACAACGCCCTCATCTTCAGGGTCGGCGGCACCGGTGTGTTGATGTGCGTTGGATGTGTTTCTAATTGTTATTGTTGCGTTAATGCGTTGCAGAAATACAGAATGTCATATAAAAATACACAAACCACACGAAACACAGTACAAAACATTAAAAAACATAAAACCATGCGAAAAAACGCTGGAAAACATTAAAAACATACAGAAACATTAAAAACATGCAAAAACCACACCAACCATGCCAAACGCACCACATATCACACGGACGCCCTATGAGAACCGAGGGAGAACCGAGGAGAACCGAGGAGAACCGAGGGAAGAACCGAGGGAGAACCGAGGAGAACCGAGGAGAACCGAGGGAACCCCCATGGGCCTGCCAATGGGTGATTTTGCACTTTTGGGGCGTTTTTCATGCCGACGTGAGAAAAACATGCCCCGCTGTGAAATTTAAAGTTTTTTGAAGCTTACCCGGCGAAACACATGAAATACGTCAAATATTTAGCGTCGAGCGCGAAACCAATGCTCGAAGCGCTAACGCGATGATTCCTAGACAACATGCGGTGTTGGGCCCTCGTTTTGACTCAGCAACGCCCTGTGGACTCCGCGGCAACATATATCTTACCACCAAGCTCTTGGGTGATCTTTCTGGGGCGCCCCCTGTAAAATCGACGGCGACGACGACGACGTCGACGTCGTCGACGAAATCGTAAACTTTTGGGAGGCGCGCAAGACAAAAGGAAGGGGAGAGCTTCTCATAAGGGCACAACCGTCACTTGAGGCCTTCTGGAAACTTTTTTGGGTGGCCTCCCTCGTCCTCGACGCGGGGGCTTCTCAGAGGAGCACAGCAGTCACTTGAGGCCCTTGGGTTACTGCGTTGGGAGGCCCGACCAGAGGGGGGGCAAATAACTCGAACCAAGGATGTGATGGGCTGTAACCTCATGCCCGTGAGAATAAACACTAGGGGAAAATAAAGTTCGGGGTTCAGGGAGAGATAATAAAAGTAGCCCAGCAGACCTCAGCAGAATCTCGAAGTAAGAGATGATCAAGAGGAGACCAAGCCGAGCACGTTTTGAGACATCCTTGGCGTTTAGTTTTCATAGAAATATCCTCAACAATGGCTTATCTCTCATGAAAATTGTTTTTTGTAAGTGCTCGTGTAGGGTAGCTCATGTGCCTCAATTTCCATGGATAATCAACCCCAGAGATAAAAAAGTTCAGGCGAGCGTGGGGACAGAGAGAAATATAAAATAAGAAGAATACAGTAGAAGAATACTAAGAAAGAAGAAGAAGAGGATAATAAGAAGAGGACGAAGAAAGGAAAAATCCAAAGTTCCAAATCTATCAATTTTAATTTACAAACGCTTTATGAACATTGATGTTTTAAGTGCTCGTCTAGGGTAGCTCATGTGCTTGATTTTCAATGGATAATCAACCCCAGGGATAAAAAAGTTCAGGCGAGCGTGAGGACAGATCCTGAAAAAGTGTGATCGCTTCGCTTGATGTCGCTATATCAACATCGCTTGATGTTGCTATCTCAACATAGCGTTTCGAGGTGATAATGAAGTTCGGCCTCAGCGCTCGCCGCCCAATTTGAATTTTGTATAGGGCGACGATAATCAACTCTAAACACTGAAGG